TGCGTGGGACACCGCAGCCTCTAGTTACTGGACGGAGCGCATTCCCATAGGAAAGGGGCAAAACTTGTTTTGTTCCCAACTAACTATAACTTCTAAATTTTTCAGCCAGTTTTGATATTCTTTCCCTTTATTCTCAGTTCCCAAGTAAGTGTATAACTCAAGAAAAAGTTTTTTAAATCCTAACTTTTGGTCGTGAACTATGGCATATTGGTCATTGTTTTTCTGCCAGTGCCTCTCCGAGCTCTCATTAATGACTTCACACATGGACAGACATAAAGTGCTCCTAAATGTTCCCCGTGCTCTTGCCTCTCAACGCCTCTTATTATCACAATTGTCCTCCTAAAGTACAGAAGTAAGTTGTTCCCCTTCTTAAAAACCATGACAACTCTCCAAGTGTCTAGTTCTTAACATGGCATGTGAAGAACTTTCAGAATCTATCCTGACCCCCCCTTCCTAGCTTTATCTCCCACCACTTGCTTATATCATAAACCCAAGACTTTCACCATAACGTATCACTTGCTCAATCCCAAAAGAATTCCAGCCTTTGATTATCTTACGGATCACTATTAATAGACTCACTATTCCCTGTGCATAAATTTATTGTCATAAAGGATTTTGTCTTAGGTAGAACAGAATCCCTAAAGAAAGACCCAAAGTTAAAAGAAGAGATTCAGCATGGTAGTTATAAGTGAAAATTTCATATGTCTGTACACAGAATTAACACACACATTCAGTGTAAGCCACTTTGTGGCAATGACGCCTTAGAGAACTTGTTTAAGATCAGTGCTGTTTCAGCCTACATTGGCAGAGTCGGAAAGAATCTCACTGTATTCTATGCTGGTTCCAGACCACATTATAAATGACACATTTCACCTTCATTTTAAGAAAAATACTGAAAAAGTGAAGTTATTTTAGAGAGCAAGAGAGGTGGTAAAGGTTTTAGAGACCATGGCATGAGGAATGACTAAACAGGAGTTGTAAAATAGATATTAAAGAAGAATCTGACTTCTCGTGTGGCTCCGGAGGGTGAGTCTAGGACTGACAGAGCCAGACATCAGAGTGGCGTAACAAGGGACTTTGCAACAGTCCGCTGTGGCCGTGAGTGGCACAAACTGCGCCCACCGTGGAGCGAGGCCTGTGTTCCGGGAACAGGGTGGCCCTGTCAGGGATGCTGGTGCGGGGAAAGCACGGGCTCTAGACGATTTCTGGAAGTGTGTCCAACAAGGATTCTGTGAGCCTGTGGAAAGAGAGCGAGGCTGGAATTTATTCTTTTCTATTTTTTAGCATCCATTAATATATTCACTATTTACTCTGCATTCATTTTACTGACTAGGGGATTTCAAAGAAGGAAAAAAAGACTTGTGTTGCTTTTATCTCATTTTAATAAAATAACGATAATACTTTTCACTTACGCAGCACTTTTCACCCAAGGATTTCAAAGTGCTTTACAAACATGCACTAATTAAGCCTCCCAAGCAGCCAGAGGTAGGTGGCTTTCCTCCCTTCCTGTGGGAATGTCAGCTCTGGCCCAGAAGTTCAATGAGAGCCTCAGAGGGCCTGGGATTGCTCCCCGGCTGCTGTCCCCCCTGTACTGTGCTGCATGTGATACGTCACCTGTCATGGCTGGATTCCTCCCCCTCCATTATCTCAAGTTTAGAATTCCAATGAATGCTGTTAAAAATTTATTTGAAGCCTTGTAAATATTACAGAAAATCCAGTCTTCTGCTTGCTGAATGCTAATTAGATTTCTAAAGGTGTTTTGGGTTTTTTTTTTAAATATAGGTGTAGTTTTATTTTTTTATTTTTTTTTAAATATAAAATTTCTTTTATGAAGAATTTGTGATTTTCCTTTCTAGGTACCCAAAAATCATTGTTCTTGGATCACAAAATTTAATAGCAGATGGAGTTGGGGGGCCTTACCTTTCCTAGTTGTCTTTTCACAACAAACGATAACCATTTTCATTGAGCTAGAATTATATATTTTCAGGAAGAGATCTTGCATTGTGGTATCCTTCTAATTTAAAGTTCTAAAATCTGATATCTAGACATTGAGAATACACGTCAGATAACACTACATAACTAGTCCTGGGAAGAAAAAGTGGCCTCGTTGTGGCATGTTCTGATCTGGAGGGACACACAGCTTCTGTGGATAGGTCAGGAGGCCCGGGAAGAGGACCTGCACATGCGGAGACACACGGCCATGCGGGATTGAGACCCGTATAAACAGCCAGCTGTACACTTGCCCGAAGCAGCTCAGTGGTGCAGGGCGAGAGCAGCTGCGCACCCCACGCCCAGGCGCCCTGCTTCCAGGGTCCCCGGTGAGGAAAGGCAAGCGCCTTTTGTGCTCTTGACTCCAGCGGAGTCTTAGTGCGTTGGAAAGCAGTGTTTTTGCTGCAACGCTTCCCTTTTATATTCGTGGTCTGTCCCTTTCCAGAAGATCTTCCCTAAAGAGCCTGTCCCCTGTTTAAAGGAGAACTTGCTGTTGGGCTCTCCTGGTTTTGGGCCAGATTCAGCATTAACAAGGCCGCATCCTATCCCGCAGGGGTAAGTAGGGTAAATAAATGTCCACGCGTCGCAAAAGAATGGAGTTGGCTTCAAATCCTCCTTCTCTGGAAGTTCAAGACGCTTTGTCCTTGACATTGTATTACACAGAGATCTCTACGCAAATAGAACTTAATCACAGGAAACCTGCAGCTCAGACACCGCAACTCATCAGAGCTCTAGGCCGCGTCTTTCTTTCCCTGACTGGGGTGCAAGTTTTCACCAACAGTGCGACTGACATTTTTAACAACTATAGTATCCACCTGTCAATTTACAATGGAAAGTATAGCCATCAGGCAAATCAGAAAACGTCTCAGTTTCTTCTTTACCCTGTCGGCAAGCCCCATGGGAAAGCAGTGATCAGAAGTTTGCCTGTGGGTCCTAGAAATACAAAACTGAAAGTTTTGCAGTTTGAATGTATAATGATCTCAGACTCTCAGACCCTGTATTAAGGCTCCTTCCTCAGTGAGTACAAGCTTGTCAGGATGGTCAGGCGTTGTTAGAGGTCACCCCAAGGAATGGCTTGGGCAGTTCTACCAACACTGCCTCGGAAGCTCCTTGTTCTGTGCCAGGGGCGGACGGACTCCCTTCTGAGGCTCGTCTTCCTCCCTCAGGCAGTTAGTCATTTGTCACAGTTCCTCAGCGAGAGCTTGTTTCCAAGGTGCCTTTGATATTTCTTCGCTGATCTGCTATGTGCTGCTTGTTTCCAAGCTCTTGAGAGAGATCTCACCATAGCCCTTAGGTTGAGAAAGACAAAATTAACAAGTTTAACCTAAGTCTGCTGCTGCTCAGCCTCAGAAGAGAGGCTAAATATGTAGGGAGTGGCGGAAGGCGGGTAATAGGTAGAAAGATGAAAAGGAAGGTGAAACCCACAGCTCTGCAGTCACTCTTCACATACGGAGAGTTGTTCAGATACATATTTGTTAGCCTTAGTGCTTCAGGAGAAAAATCTCAACAGCCAGTTCCCCTGATTTTAAACTGAGACAGGTGTACCTGAGCTCATGGACTCCACTGATTTCTCAGACATCTTGAAAGCCACCTCTGGAGTAATATTTCCCTTCATATAAAATTTAACCTTCCCGTGGGACCAAGGGAGGAGGGGCGTGCTAATATTTTGCCATTTTAAGATGAAATTCAGGCCTAAAAATTTCATAAATTATAGATGAAGCCCAAAAGTTTGATTTATCTGGCATCACTCACTGCAAATGCTCACCTAAACTTGTTTCAGAAATTCCATTCCCGAGAGGTAGATGCACATGACTAACACGCCCTATTATATTATGACTCTTTACATTTAGTACTAAGTCCTATCCCAGCACACATGGGCACACACATTATTTAAAACCTTGGTAAAGTTACTTCTAAAGTGTTTTCATCTCATTTTGAGCTGTGAGAGGAAAGGAAGTTAGTGGCTATATGGGTATATTGTTTAATCATATTGAGATTTTGCTTATAAGAAAAGTGTTTTCCATCTAATATAATCTCAAATCATCTTAAGTCATTTAAATATATTTATACTTTTAGAGTTTACATTTCTGCATTATAGACCCTTTCCTTTGATTGGAAATGAGCTCACTGGCACCCACTGCATGAGCTGTGCATGAGCATGTTACAGTTGCCATATTTGCCTGGCAAAATAAAGCTCGTGGTTTTGCTAAGTGTTGGGTAATTCTCTGAACCTTAAAAAGTGCTCTGGAGAACAGATTCTCATCCAAGTAATTGACTAATGGATGAAAATAATTTTTTTATAAAGTAATACTCAGAGGTCATCCATTGTCCAGCTGTCTATAACTGAAGGCTATCTTTGGGCTTCTATTTCCATGGAATAAATTGAACCAAAATGCATAATTTACTTGCTGTTACTCAAAAGAAATGTACTATTGAATAATTTTTTGCACTGAGGAGTCAGAAGGATTGCAGATCAAATGTGGCTCACTTTGAAATTCTGTGAAATTTCCTGTCTTCTCTCTTTACTCACACGCTTAGTGTGTGATTTGGCTCTGAGTGAGTGTTTACTGTTAAAATCAAACTGTGTCCTTTCTAATAGTGGATCAGTCCTATGTCTTCATATGAAAGAGATCTCATTATAAACAGCAAAATGCACTACGGTTTTATTCCACAGCATTGTATTTCTGATCATTGCTAGCAAGTAAAATCTTTTCATATTCTGGCATAAAAGCCATATATGAATGTAATTTATTGAAACTTCTCTGATCTGTCCTCCTCTTTGTCTTGGTTACCTGATTACAGTGGTTCCCAACATTTTAACACACATTCTTACAAGTAAATATTTATCATACACAGTTTTATGGCTGTATTTGTAAAGGATTAATATCCACATCAATCACTTCCACTGCTAGGAAGAGAATCTTGAGGGTGTAAAGTCCAATCCTCTTATTTGACCTGCATTGTGGATGTGTGATGAAAAATATAAATTCTATTTCTTTTTCTCTTTTTAGCCTTGGAATGGATGGCTTTGGCCAGTCGGTTGGCCTTCTCGGACGCCCAGCCACAGCGTATGGATTCCGCCCTGATGAACCTTACTACTATGGCTACGGATCTCGCTAAAGTCGTCCCTTTCCATATGTACCCTTAGCTTAGGAGAAACCTGTGTGGGTTGGGTTGACTTTGAATCTTGAGCTAATAATGCATGTTGATATTATTGCGGTCTGTGCTTGTTTTTGTTGTTTCATGTTGTTAGCTGCAGGTTAACTCCACCCTCTCCATCCTGTGTTAAGCACATCATCGAGCCACACCTTGATGCTGGATAACATTTCCCATGACACTCAGAAGTGGATGCTGAAAAGCAACTAGACTGGAAAACAAACACTACATTATGTACATTAAGTGACTAATTTAATTTCTATTAAAAAGAAACAAAGTGCAAATGAATTAGAGAAAGTCATGTGTTTCTATTTAGTGTATTTCATTAGGAGTTACATGCTTATATAGGGTGCATATGAATTTTATTTTTCCCTGCCCCTTTTCCCCCCTTGTAAACTCTTAATATTTCATGTGACATGTGCTTCCCTAAAAATTTATAAAAAGACGTCACCATTTTATTCCACGCCATGTGCCTGAAAGGTTGCTTCCCAAAGTTATTAACTAGGAGTTTTCAATTAACAATGGAACATATGCCATAAGTTATGTTATATATGAGTATAGTCTCTTCAGCCATTTGAATTCATGCCCTTCTGATTTTAATATAGAAAATCTGGGACATCTATTAGTATGCATGAAACTAGATTCGTATTGGGCTTTTATTTATGATTTGTGAAATCTGAAGTATGGAAAAGCTAATTATAGGTCTCATTGAGGAAAACTAAGGAACAGTATTTTGCTCACTAAGATACTTGTTTCCCATTTGCTCACTTGTTATTATAAGATAAATTGAGGTAATAAGAAATGAAAACATATTGTAATTAATAATGAGTTTTAAAAATAACTGTTATAATACTGAAAATTTACTAAAGCAAATAAAATAGCTATAATCTATAGATGTTTGCTTGAACACTTGCTGTGGGAGAAATTATGTGTGGCTTTGTCCTGGAGAAGTCAGATGACTTCTGTCCTTGTGTTTTAGATCTCATTGATCTGCTGCACTATTTATTGGCTTGATTTGTATTCTAAGCATAGAATAGTAGCGCTGGAAAGAGCCTTTGAAATAAACCAGTCCATCTACCTACTTGAGAACCAATCACATAAAAACTTTAAATATAATCAACAGATTTTTTAAACTACCTCCTATGTCTAAGGAAGAAGATGATGCTTCTGAGGGAATATGTGACTGAGATATGATTTGTGTGTTTGAACTTACAACCTAATTGATCTTTCTGAAAACATACATTTGTCTTAGTTTCTATTTCAGCCACAGAATATTAAAGTTGGAAAGGGCCCTAGAAGCAACCCTGTCAAATTCTTTTGGTTGAAGGAACTGTAGCCAGGAGAGAGAACATGATTTGCCCAAGCTTATCTATTTGGTCAGTGACATAACCTGTCTCCCTGCTTCCATCCCAGTAACCTCAATACTAAGCAACTTGTCTTGTTATTTGCCATATGTACAAAGATTAAATACATATAATAAGTGACATTAATAGAAAGACAAAGCAAACATTCTATAGCTTAACTTCCTACGCCCTGTTACAAAGTGCTTGGAAGAACATCATGTGAAGTATCTAATGCACAGGAAGTACTCGACACGTGTTAGCTACTCTTGTTACATTACCTTGTTTTATTTTTTCATAGAATTTATCATTTGCTGAACTTATCTTTGTTCACTTACGTGCTTATTGTCTGTCTGTCCCCCTAACCCCTAAGATGTGAGGTCCATTGAGAGCAGAGAGGTGGTTTTGCGTGCTGGTGCCTCCCTCACCTCTGGAGCAGAAGCTGGCACGCACAGTGAGCCCTTCACAATGAGCAAGGAGTGAATGTCAGGGAAAATGAGCCGCTGAGCACAGGTCCGGGTTCATGCACTGTAGCATGAAACTTAAATGGGGCAGGGCACTTTGAAAAACTAAAATAACATTTCTAGCCCTAAGGTACTAGCACATCTCCAACCCCTTAATTAAAAAAAACTAAAAAAAACTTTATTTGGGCCACTCAAACAACCGACTCTTCTGTAATGATTGTTCCTTCTTTTCTCGGTGGTCAGCACAGGGCATGACACAGAAAGGGTGTGTGTTAAATACCTGTGGAATAAACAGTCTGCAACATGAGCTTACACGCTCTAGAACATGTATACTGTGTTGTAAGCACTTTCTCACAATGACATGGGTGTCATGATGTCTATGGTTGGCTTTAAACTTCTTCAGCATGGGCAGTGTGATGTTCTGTGTGGGTCAACTGGTTCAAGGTATGCCCTGGAAGCAAGTAGCATTCTAGTAACTAGGAACTAAACACTCCAGGGGTAGCAAGCTAGCACCAGACCAGAAAGGCCACATTCCAGAGATGGAGCTACAATTACTTTAACCACCTTGATCTCTGATGATGCCGGGTATTTTACTAATTATCATAGTGTCAGAAAAGGGCTTTTATCGGCAGAAACAACAGTTTATAATCACAATGTACATTAGAAATGCTGTCTAAAAATTCAAGATAGGTGCTTTGCCTAAAATATTTTAGAAAATGCTCCCTCTACTCCTGAAAAAACAGAGTCTAAACATTCAAGGAGGCCTCCAGCTTTGGGGATGTCATCTGAGGCTTCATCCGTAATGGCCCCGGCCCTGTCACTGGTCTGGAAGATTTCTGTTTGCCAGATGCTGATGCCAACGACCACGATGATGATAATGCCGCCTCCAGCAGCGGTCCCTCTGCTGCTCCACTCTCCTGCAAGGTGGCGGTCAGGCCTCTAGGGGGCGCCCTCGGGCACGGCCGTCACTGTCCACGTGAGACCACCGAGCTTGGAAACATGGCTGGTCCACATTCTAAACCATAAACATCAGGTTTGGAAGACAGGACAAAAATGTAAAGTATCTTATTAATTTTTTATATTGAGTGCATGTGTAAATGACAGTCTTCTGGGTCTACTGTGTTAGAATATTAAAATTACCTTCATTCTGTTTTAAATGTGGCTACTAGAAAATTTTAAATTACTTATGTGGCTCGAATTCTATTTCTATAGGACAGTGCAGACTTAGTACAGAGAGCTCGGCTTCCGCCTAATAGCTATTAGGACAGATTAAATGCGATTTGTGTCTGCCTCCTTATAAGTATTTAATACATTTCTGATTAAGCGGCAACGGTTGGTCCGCTAGTTGTTTTCATTTAACTTGGTGAAGAAATTGTGGGCTCCTTTATCCATCTTAAAGTTTCAGCTACTGTTATCGACGAGGAAGAACCCAGAAGTTTTAGGTGATCGGATGATTTGGGTCAGCTGCCGTCTGTGAGGTGGTCGGCGCCTTAAGTAGGGGCGATGGGGACCACGACCGTGCAGATGACAACAGGGAAAAGAGATCGCGTTTACACCGAGTCGTGTGGTTTTAAAACTATTACGTAAATTCATTTTGTTCTCACGACAGCCTATTAGGTTGAAACCATTAATATTAATTATAGGTCCCAGAGTGCCAGTGTGACCCTTCCCTGACTTAAGTGTAACTTCAGACTTTCGGTCTCCAGGGCGCGCCCCTTCGGGCCGCGTGGCTCAGCCAATCAGAGCCGCGGCGTGCGTGGCGTCACTGTCCTCCGCCCCGCCCCTCAGCTCTCCGTTAGAAGCGACCCAGGCCATTTTTGATTCGGGCGGAAAGCAAATGAAAACCCCGGGCGAAAAGCCTGAACGTTACAGTCTAGACTAACTGGCGCATTCAACTCAACAGCTGAGCGAGAGGAGCCCTGCTCACAGCCCACCAGGCTGCTGCGAGCAGCGAGGGAGCCGCGAGGCAGGCACGGCGCCCGCCCTCAAGATGGCCCCGGCCCGAGCGTCACCTATGCGGCCGCTCTAGCTCTGTTCCGGGTTCGTGAGCCTCGGTGGTGGCGTCGGAGGGCCGCAGGCTGGCATTCTGTCCGGCTTCCGGACCAGTCTCTATGGTGGCGGAGGGACCAGACCCCAGACGACTGTGGGTGTAGTGGCTGGAGCCTCACAGGGGAAGCGAGGGTGATTGGTATCATCAGGGGGCGAAAAAGGGACCAGAGCCAAGACCCTCGGCCGCCTCCCGCCACCTCCGGCAG